AAAGTAATCCTTGTGACATAGAAGAGCAAACAGGCCCAAATTGACTCTCAGCAAAGTGAAATGAATTAGCTTCAATTCAGGGAAAATACACTATTTTACAAAGATCTAACTATTACTGTTTCTTTCTCAAATAAAAAATAAGCAATGCTTTAAATGACATTCCACTGAGGGATAGTATGAGGTCCCGTAATCTGTAGGGGAGACCTTTGCTGGATTTCTTATTTCTAGTCCCCCCTCAAGCTGAAATGGACCTGTGTCCTGGGGGAGTAACAGAAAGCTTCAATCATCAGGCAAGATGGGGATGAAAGATTTTTGAGATACAGTGGGAAAGTGTCCTGGATGATTTAATCAAGCTAAGAGGATATCAGTGACTCTACTGGAATCCCTTGGGGTCAGTCACATCTGATTCCCACGCAGCCCCAAAGTACTGCTCTAAGAGAAGGGGCCCTGACCTTCCCAGTCCTAATCTTGTTCCAAGCTTTGGAGGAGGATGCAATCCTGATGGGGAAAACCCTTGGCAGATGAGTACAAACCAGTTTCTCCTCGAAACCCTAGAGGTATTTAATGCCCAACTGTGATGCCCTGCTCTCCAGTACAGGACTGAGTAGAAGACCTCCTGGTGGTTTGGATTAGTGATAGTTAATTTTCATTGTCAACGTCACTGGATTTGCAATGACCGAGGAAACACATCTCAGAAGTTTAACTGAAGCGGGGGAAACCCACCTGAATGTAGGTGGCACCATCCCGTGTACTAAATAAGAAGGCAAAGGGGAAAAATTGAGCTTCACCTATCATTCACCTCTGCTTCCTGGTTGCCCACATAGTGCCAGCCACCTCTCATTCCCACCACTTTGCCTTCTGGCCACAATAGACCGTCCCCATAAGCCATAGCCAAAATAAGCCCTATCTCCCTGAAATCACTTTTGTCATGTATTTGCTTCACTAAGAAAAGAACTAGAACAGGGTCTTTGAGACTCTTGGCGGGGGTGGGGAGTGGAGGGGGGCAGGAAGCAGTCAAGAAGGCTCATAAACCACAGCATGAGGTCAGAGGATGTGTGGGAGTTCTCCCCTTCCAATCCCAGGGACCAAACCCAGGTCCTCAAGCTGCTAGCAGTAGGCGCTTGCACAGGCTGACATCTTGCAGCCAGAGACCTTGTCTTAACCTCTCTCGATATCTTCTGACTCCTTTCTTCCAGCCTGTGGGGGTCTGTCATGTCTCTGGACTCTCTCCTCAAGCCCCTACAATTGCTCCGCTGACCTCTCTAAAGTGCTGGCCTGCTCTGCCCTCCCAGACACCTTCCTTGACTTAGAACACAGAGCGATTTATCTTTGGCTTCCCCACTGGACTGTGAGCCCTCTGCTGAGCTTTTCCGTAGTTGCCTAGATAGTGACTCAGCCTTTGCATTCCACATTTTGCATTGAAGTACCAGGAGTTACTTATCTTTTCTCAACCTCAGTAATCTCATCTGTAAAATGGGGAAAACAGAACCTACTTCATGGAATGTTCTGGGGGTGTTTAACTTCAGGATTTAGGCAAAGCTCTTACCACACTGGGATGTTACCTACTAATAAAAACATGTTGGTGAGGATTGTTTGAGGATAAATACAAGAGAAACTGCGCCCTCGAGCCTGCAAATGCTAGGATCTCACAGAGGAGAGGGACTGCAGTTTTAGAAGAGTGGAGGTCATGCTTTGGCAGGGGACCAGCTTTGCTTGGCGCTAGCCTGGCCTGCTGTTCCCTGCCGCAGTGAAGGGCGAGAGTGACCACCCTCCACTCTGTCCTCCAGGGGTGGAGGCGCAAGAACCTGGATATCAGCACCCAGGGCAGGACACACGCTGGGCA